CTCTCCCCTGTTACTGTTGCTCTCACGGAAGTTACATCACGTCTCCAACCCCGGTCCCCATCTGGGGAGTTGCAGTGATAGTGGGCACCTCTGTGCAGGAGCAATGGGACAATTATTATTGCCGCTTGGCACGAGGCCCAGCACTTAATGGCGCTACATAAATGTTTGTTATTGTCATCACTAGAAGACAGTGGCGGTCAGTGGCGCCTGGGCAGGGCTGTGTGCTGACTGGGGAAAGGCCTCACGGCGGATCAGAGTGCGTGGGCACCTTGAGAGATCCGTGCTAGTCCACTTGGGCAGCTCTGGGAGGAGCAGATGCATCTAGGAGCCACCCCAGAGGCAGCAGCAGGAAGAAGAGGCGTTTCCGGTCAAGGCTGTGTTCTCTACCAGAGCAAAGGAAGAAGAATCCTGCTGGGGGAGCCCTCCCTTCCTCTTCTTGGCTTTGTGGAGGGGTCGCATTGTGGCTCAGGAACCAATTTCCTCTTCCCCAAACTGAGAAGATCCTCCCAGGGTTGCTGGGGAGGCTTGGCATGTCTGGGAGGACCTCAAACAGCCTGGTTCCTGATGCCTCCCTCCCTGCTTTTTCCTATGGTTGGGCCAGGGGCACAGTGAGTGGAGATGCCTGTATTACCCCACCCCTTCCTTCCAGTTCTTTCCTTCCCCACACCATCCCTGTCCTGGACTTCCCAAACACTCTATTGAACTTGGGTCGTGTGGGGCCAAGGGCACGGCATCTCAGCCACCCAGCAGGCTGCTCCAGCTCCACCCTGGCCCCAAGAACGACTCCGCCCACCGTCCTTATTTCTTGTTCCATCCCACACTGGAGAGGAGGGAGGAGATCATAGAACGTGGCCCTGATATGCTGGTTTCCTACCCCCAGGCACCATCATCCCTTGCTCAGGCCAACTCCCTAGTCTTTTGAGACTGCTAAGAATCTTTGCCTGCTTTTTCACTCATGAGACTGAGGGACTGGACACCCAGAGAAAGGAAACTTGCCATATAAACCTGATGCCAGTTTCCTATCCCTGTTCATCCATTTTTCCAACATGTCTCTGTCCTGACCCAGATGCCCGCTGTGTTTCTGGAGAGGCTTTGAGAAGGCCCAAGTGTCCAGGAGTTGCGAGTTCATATACCTCAAGCTGGGGAGATAATCAAAATATTTAACAATCAGTATGGCATGGTCATTATCGAATTAGAGTGGGGCATCTTGGGCGTGAGGGGGTGCCCTAGAGACCCCCCGCTGTGCCATGTTATCACTCTAGCCACTGGATCTTGAGGGATGGGGTAGTCCTAGGGAAGGGAGACAGGAGGCTGAGAGAGCAATTATGGAAGTACTCCAATATTTAAACAATGATATGGCCATACTAGAGAGTACTGATATCAGAGTTGCCCACAGCTGCCACCAACACCTCCTTTTTGCCCAGCCTCTGCCTTCAACCTCTCTGCAGGTTCTGCTGCCTTCCCTCCCCCTCCACAAGCAAACATTGTCCTTTAGCAACTTTCCACCCTTTAAGGCTGCCCTTCAGTGCAGTTGCCAAACCAGGACTCAAAGAGAAGGCCCGGTCCCAGTTCTGCTTCTCTTCCCGTGGGACCTCGAGCAAAGCCTTTGCCTCTCTAGGTCCTGTTTCCTCATCTGTAAAATGGGCTGGTATCCATGCTACCCACCCCGAAGGGTGATGGTGTATATCAGATTACCGCAGGCCTGTGGAGGGGCCCTGTCAGCCACTTCTCAGACGTCACTACTTGAGGGCACCTGTGTGAAAATGTTGGGGGAAGAAGACAAAATATAGTGTATCCTCTCTCCATTCCTCTTGCAATGGTCTTGTTTTCATCCCTGAAGGAGAGCAGAGGAGAGAGCCTGACCCTGTCCACCCTGGTGGCCGGAATAACTCGAGACCCAGCACCATTCAGAACACTTACATCGCCATCACTATCAGGGAGGGCTTCCTAAAGGAGGGCACAGACTGGATAGAGGGCTGGCAAAGGGGACATGAGAAGCAGGAAGAACTGTGCAAGCCAGAAAAGGAGACTTCTGTTCACCCCACCCACCCCTCCCAGGGCCAGCTCAGGAGTTCAGATCCTGGCTCCATCCCACTGTCTTTTGCTTTGTGACCTTGACAGTTACTTATCCTGAGTTTTTCCATAATAAATTAGGAGGAATAAAGAGTATCTGCCTCATAGGCTTCATAATATATTCAGAATCTGTGAGTATTAAAGAAATAATGTCTGTAGCACACTTAGCACCAGTCTGGCATACAGCAAGTCTTCATCAATGAAAGTATGGCTATCCCAGGTCACCCTGCAAAAGCTGAAGGCAGAGGAGTATGTCCAACAGAAGAGGGAGCTCCTGGCTCTCTACCGGGACCAGGACCAGGAGTCCCCAGGCACCAGGCCCTCCTCGCCTTCCCTGGAGGGCTCTCAGAGCAGCGCAGAGGGGAGGTAAGACCCACAGGGACCACAGGTCTCTCAAAGTAGGGGGGGCTGTGGGGAGGAAGGGAGAGAAGAGAAACCCACAAGGCAGAGAAATGTCAACACAGCTTTCAGGGGCACTGGGAAGAGATTGAGGAACCCAGGCTATGGGTTGGAGCAGAACAGGTTTGGATCAGTCTTGCTAAGGACCACATGGGACAGCCTTGGGGATGAGTCAGTCTCTGGCTGCCTGGGGGTGGGGTGGGAGGCAGCAAAGGAAACAGACACAAGCAACGTGAGCTCCCTGAGAGGAGCAGGCTCCCCAGGCCGGGGATGGAGAGGGAAAGCCAATGTGGATTTGCAGAATGTTCCAGCTGCAGGGATCTGGTGAGTCCAAATCCCCGGAGAGGGTGAGAGGTTCATTCACAGTGACACAGCTGTTCAGCAGCATGGTTAAGGGAAAAAAAGACCCGTCACTGGGGGATAACTTCAGGGGAACTCAGGCAGCCTTTGGCAAATACCTGAGCACCTGCTTGGTACGAGGTCCTGACCCAGGTGCTGTGGCTAAAATGCCTTAGGGGAGCTTACAGTCTAGCCCCCAAGATGAGAACATAACCTTACGGTTTAAAGGTGATACCGAAGCAAGTTTGGAGGAGGGGCCATTTCTGGATGGGATGAGACTTCCTGGACTTGAACTTGACCCCTCGGCATGGGACTCTAACCATTTACTATTATGGTTACTTGTAGGACCCCTGAGTTCTCCACCATCATCCCCCACCCGGTAGTGACAGAAGACACAGATGAAGACTCTCTGTTGGTTCCAGATGATACCTCAGACTCTGGCTACGGCACCCTGATCCCAGGCTCCCCCAAAGGGCCCTACCATTTGAGCCGACTACGCCCACAGGCCCTTCGGCGTGACCCTCGCCTCACCTTCTCCACCCTGGACCTCCGAGATGTTCCTCTGCGCCCTCAGCCTCCTAACTTCCAAGCTCCCCAACACCGAAGTGCCCCTGAACTGCCAAGGGAAGTTATCCAAAGAGGAAGCAGCCTTCCCAGGGGCGATCCACCAACCTGGTCGGAGGAAGAAGACGGGACCTTAGTGGGAGGGAACGTGGTAGCGGAAACCTTGCATCGGGCCCAACTTCGGGGAAAGCTCCCCCCATCCCCGACCCACACAGACTCTGCTGGGGAAAGCCCCTGGGAGTCCTCAGGGGATGAGGAAGAGGAGTCCCTCTTCCTGGGAACTCGCTGCACCCCCCACTCCCGTACCCTCCGGGCTGAAGATATGCTCAGAGAGATCCGGGAAGACCTGGCCAGCCAAAGGATCGAGGCCATCCCTGAGCTTGGGAACAGCAGGCCTTGGAAGCTGACCCGGGGCCAACTGCAGAGGATGCGTGGATCCTGCATCGTACAGCTGGACACCCCCATGTCCGTGTCGTAAGTGCCGAAGGGAATGTGGCCTGGGAGGGAGCAAAGAAGGCTGGTATGGAGCGGGAGGGGGTGTCAGAATAGGACCTCAGTGGGGACGGAGTCAGTAGAGGAGGGCAGTACCAGAGCGGGGGCGATGGCAAGGAAGGGCACTCAGCCTCACTCTTCACACCACATCGGACTTGACCCGACTCCCACCTCCTTTCTTTTCAGAGAGGTGTGAGGAACCCTCAGGGCTTTTGGCATTTCTCCCAGAGGAAATTTCTCCCCAAGAGTGCTGGTCACCACCCACCCCTGGACTCTACCTCAAGGACCACACCTCCCACTGAGAAGCCTGGCTCAGGCACTCTGCCTCTCCTGCTCTGAGGGCTTTGGGATCAAGTGCTGTACATTTTTGTACCATGGACATACCAGAGCCCCACATAAAGTCGTGCATAAAAATGACTGCCTGGTCATCCCTAGACAAGGGCAGAAAGAACCTGATGGGGAGGGGGTCACAGAATCACAGAATTCGCACAGGCTACTCTGTCAGCTGATGGGGTGCCTGGCCCAATCTCAGGGCCTTTCCCATCCCCCACCCCACATCAGGCACGGGTCTCTGCCCCAGCCTCCCACACCCACCACTCAGAAGGACCATCCCCTCCAGAGCAGAGCTTTAATTCCAGAGTTTTAGTGTATTTACAAAAGTCCACAGCTCCAGCTGGCAGCCCCATTGTTCTGTGCTCGCGCCTGCCTTCGGACAGGTCAGCTCATTCTTTGCTTGTGCAGGCAGGGGGCAGAGGGGTGCCCAGCAGCCCCATTGTTCTGTGCTCGCGCCTGCCTTCGGACAGGTCAGCTCATTCTTTGCTTGTGCAGGCAGGGGGCAGAGGGGTGCCCAGTTTCTATTAGTGTAACATAAATGATACAAAGATTGCTTATCTACTGTGAAAAAGTCCCAGGGACCAACCAGAGGCCCCTAAGCTGCCTTTGGTTCTCCAAACCCAAAATATGCGGTGAGGCGGGGCACCAACCAGTGGCCCCTAAGCTGCCTTTGGTTCTCCAAACCCAAAATAGGCGGTGAGGCGGGGCACCCCATCTCTGCAGCCACAAGCGTGGGCTTCTGGCACACTCAGCCTCTCAGGATCTCACACACACACACACACACACACCCCTCTGCCACACATACACACACACACACACACACACACACACCTCTGCCTCACACACACAAGGCTGAGCCCCTGGCAGCGCTCCGGCAGCTGAGAAAATCTATATACACTTGGAGAGTAGCACCAAGTAGGTAGCTGGCAGCCATGCTTGCCCTTCCAAGGCCCTCGTCCAGAAAAAGGGTCCGAAGGGCATCCAGCACGGTCCTTCAGGCCCCCCGCGAGGAGGCAGCGGTCGTAAGGGCAGGCCCCTCCCAGGGAGGGTCGTGGCCTCATCGCAGGAGGCGGGGCGCCGGCGAGAGGGAGGCTGGGGCACACAGCGCCTCCTCGATGTCCTCCAGGCAGCCCAGCAGGTCCATGTCGCGGAGCACGCGGCCCAGCAGCTCCAGCGTGGCCTCGCGCCGTGGCATGCGCCGCCGCCAGGCCGCCAGCATGCTGTAGTGGGCCTCCCGCAGGCAGCGCCCGTTCTGCAGCTCCAGCCGCTCGATCTCGTGCTCGCTCAGCCCCAGCCGGCGCACAAACTCCTTCCAGCGCGATGGGGGCACGCCGTCCACCACGGCATACAGCGTCACCGGGTCCGCGGGGTCGGCTGCGGGGAAGCAGGCGGTGAGCCTCCCACAGGCCGGCTACAGCGGCCGCCCGGCCCGCCCCCCCATCTCCACGCACGCGCACTCTAGGAGCCCCGCCCACCTGCTGCGGCTGGGAACTCACCTTCTGCGCGCTGACTGTGCGTGCTGTCCTCCCACTTCTGAACTGGGATGGGAATGGGGGTGGAGGCTGGAGCCGCGGTGAGGATGGGGCCAGCCTCCTGGTAGGGTGGGGCCATCTCTCCAGAGTCTGACGGAGCCCTTAACTTAGACCAGTCACGTGGGGTGAAGACGGACCTGGGGGTGAAGGTGGGGTTGGGGATGGGACTGAAGCCCGGGATGGGACTGAAGCCCGTGGTGGGACTGAAGCCTGTGGTGGGACTGAAACCTGGAACCGAGGCCAGGGTCTCAGGCTCCCCCTAAAAGAGAGAAGGCACAGCATTAGCAAAGGAGAGGAAAAACAGCCCTAACCCTCTTTAATCTTGAAGGGGGCTGGGATTAGAGAGAGTTAGGGGTGGGGGGTGTTCATTTGGGTACCACAGGATTATAATGGAAAATCAGGGAAGGTTGGGGGTAGGTTCCTAGTTTCATCTTACCTCCTTTGTAGGTGTCAATTTCCCACAAACTGAGAAAAAAGAAACAAAGCGTCACAAATTTCACTTCCTCTCTCAGCCCTGGCGCCCATACTGGGGCTGGCCATGGGGACTTGTGGTGACATGCTTCAGGGCTCAAGTGGCCCCAGGGACAAGAGAACTACTGATGCAATGTGACCTTTCACAAGCCATCGGAGCTATCTCCTGCCAACAAGGTTCTCAGCAGCAAACTAAGGGGACACTCCTCATACCCCTCCATGTTGGTCCATCTTGCCCATTCACCCTCCTCCCACATCCCTGCCAGCATGCTTTCCCCTCCCAAAGGCCCCACTCACTCACCAGTGGAGAAGAACCTGGGCATCTGCCGTTGGTAGCGGCACATTAAAACAATAGAGAAGGATAAAACACAAATGCCAAAGAAGATCACCAGGGGCAACAGCACTGTGGTACCTGGAGGCAAGGCAGGCTGTGGTCAGAGGAGGGGGCAGCAGGAGGCAGCAGGACTGGCTGGGTGGGTGGAAGGTCAAGGATTAGGACAGGGCAGGTGAGCATGGGAACAGGGTGATCTGTCCTCACCTGGGTCCTGAGGGACCGTAACCTTTTCCACAGGGAGAAGACACAACTTTGTGCACTCTGTGTTTTCCTTACAGCTAAAAGAAGAGATAGCACAGGTAAATAGGGTTCCTCCCATAAGAGGAAGACAGGGGGGAAAGACAAAAAAAAAAAAAAAACTCCACAGTGTTGCAAATCCTTTGCTTTATGATTATTTTAGCTCTCTCTTGATATAATGGAAAATGAAACCTCTGCTGGGAAATTAAACTGCTCCTGATGGAGAGGCATGAAACCCAAGTTAATCACAAAATCATTAAATTTTAGAACTGATCTCCAGGAGGCTGTGTAGAAAAATAGTTAAAAGCAGTGAGAGGCGGGGCATGAATTGCAGCCCCTTCATCGGCTAGCAGTGTGACTCCAAGCAAGTCATTTAACCGGTAAGCTTCAGTTTGCTGATCTGTAAAATGAGGCTCTTGCCCACCTGCTAGAATTGAGGAGTTAAGTGAGATCCGTCTGCCTGACATATAGTAAGTGCTCAATAAATGGTAACAGTAACTGAATTGTTTTACTGATGAGAATCCCATGGTAAAGAGAGACTGGAAAGATTTTTCTTGAGATAAACAATCCCTGACTTTGAGAGAGGGGTCAAACATGCATGTGAAAAGTTTTGAAATACATATTGTTGGGGGCAGCCAGAGAGTACTCTCGAACAAGCACATCTTTCCCTCTGACCACAGCCTGCCTTGTCTCCAGGTACCACAGTGCTGTTGCCTCTGGTGAGCATGGAGTGATAAGAACTCCATGGAGGGCTAAAAGGAGCTCAGAGGAAGGTGAGTTCTCAGCGGGAATCTGAAAGCAGGAAGAGGCACTTTTGCCCACCTCACAGGCTCCTGGTGAGAACCTCATGGAATGAGTGTGAAAGCTCTCTGAAGCAGCAGAGCAGACTTGGTAGAAAAAGAAAAGGGGTGCCTGGGTGGCTCAGTGGGTTGAAGTTTCTGCCTTCAGCTCAGGTCATGATCCCAGGTCCTGGGATTGAGCCCCGCATGGGGCTCTCTGCTCAGCAGGGAGCCTGCTTCCCCCCCCTCTCTCTCTGCCTGCCTCTCTGCCTACTTGTGATCTCTGTCTGTCAAATAAATAAATAAAATCTTTAAAAAAAAAAGAAAACAAATAGTTCAGTGTCAGACACTTTGTAGCTCTATAACCGTCCAAGTGAATGTTATCAGCTTTACTTTAAAGGTGAGAAAACTAAAGCTCCGAGATGTTAAGTAACTTGCCCAAGGTCACACAGCCTAAGTGGCTCCACTGATATATATATATATTTTTTTTTAAGATTTTATCTATTCATTTGACAGACAGAGATCACAAGTAGGCAGAGAGGCAGGCTGAGAGAGAGGGGGAAGCAGGCTCCCCGCAGAGCAGAGAGCCAGACGCGGGGCTCGATCCCAGGACCCCAGGATCACGACCCGAGCTGAAGGCAGAGGCTTTAACCACTGAGCCACCCAGGCGCCCCTCCACTGATATTTAAACCCAGATCAACTGAACTTTAGAACCTTCAGAGTTCCTTCTTTGCAAGCAAGTGTGTAAGACTAGGCTCCATGGAGCCAAAAGAGATAAGGAGGCCTGAACAGAGACTGGGGAAGAAATACCATATTGCAGCAAAGATGCCATCAGTGATAAGAAGCACCATCACTACACACACACACACACACACACACACACACACACACACACAGCTGCCAGTTAAACCATGATACCTCATCAATTATTAGATGAAGCCTAATTTCAGAGATGTGAAAATGCACGTCCTAGAATCAATGAACTGTAGTAGATCCTGTCTCCCCAAAATCCAAATGTCTGAATTAAAAGAACTGCAAGTCTGTGAAGTATGAGCCTCCATTCCCAAAGACTTCTTCAGATTTTAGGAGCAAGTCCCCGGGGCGGGGGAAGGAGTAGCAGGAAGGACTGTCTGGTGTACTGACACGAAGTGTCAGCCACTCAAACAGCCAGTAAGAGCCAGGGTTTCTGGCTTGGGGTTTCTTCCTTGCCCTGCTGTGGCTCTCACCTGAAGCCACCCCGTCCCACCCCAAACCCCCTCCCCACCCAATCCAGTGCCCAGCAGATGGCAGAGATACTCACTGAACACAGGGTATGCATTCATGGTCTCTTAGAAAGAAACCCGCGTGGCAGGTGCACACTGTGTTCTGTTTCTCTGTGCCTGTAGAGAGAGATGCAGCACAGCTAGGGGAGGGCCGCCCTGCAACCCCAAGGATCACGGGGAAAACCAGAAGGGGCAGGGGGGTAGATGGTCAGAGTGGAGGTGGTCCCACGGACTTCAGGATGGGAAGGAGTGAAAATGTTGCGTGGACGGGGGCGGCACAGAGGCAGAGAGCTTCCTCCTGAGCCTGAGCCGGGGCCACCCTGAGGCAGGGAGGAGACTGGGGTTGGGAGAGCCATGCTCACAGGAGATGTGCACTGTGCCATTGAGGCAGAGGCTGCAGTTCACGCACTGGAAAAGGGTGTCACCCCAGTAACGCCGGTACTGGTTCTCCCGGCAGCCGCACACAGTGTCCTGGGACACAGTGCAAGGAGAAATCTCCACCTGGTTCATTTCTGGAGAGGGAGGAGATGGAGTGTGAGCCCCTGCCCCACAGCAGTGTGTGTCTTTCTCTGTACACATGTCCCCACCCATGCACTCACCCATTGCACAAGCATTCCCACCCACACCCACCTGCAGAGATCTGTCTGCCCTCGCACATAGGCGCACACACTGCTCTAACCTAGCTACCTGACACTCTGTTCAGAGCCCTTGCCGCCTCCTAAGACTCACCTTTTCGGCATTTGGAGCAACTGAGGCACTGTCTGAGGTGGTTCTCCGAAGCTGTAAAGGTGCCGTTTTCACATTCCCTGCAGTCTGTGTCCAGCCCCAGGCCGGGACAGTCCTTGTACAGGTAGGTCCCTATGATGGAGTAGCAGGGTTAGCTAACAGCGAGAGCTCAAGGAAGGAACCCCCGCTAGAGAGAACAGCCAGGATCCCCCCACCCCACCCCAAATGTCTAAGAGAGGAAAGAAGGGACAAAATCCCAGTCCAGGAGAGGCAGCAAAGTCAGGAGACTGGAGGTAAGGTTCCAGGTTCTAGAACCTCTGGAAAAGGCAAAGGAAGAAGCAGGACTGAGCAGGTTCGCTGTTACCACTTTCTCCTACCTTTGTGGCACTTCGTACAGCAAATGGAATTATCTTGAGGGTGAATATATTTTCCTTGGGGACACAGAACAGCTCTCTTCTCCCGGTCCCTGACGTGAGGGACCAGTGCCATAACCCTTAAGGGGTATATTTCCACCAACAAGGCCAGGAGCACCTGGGGAAGAGTCAGACAGAGGAGATCCCATCAGGAGAGGGTGGATGGGAGCCTTGGAGGTAGCAAGTCAAAGCCTTCCCAGCACAAGTCCTTTCTCAGTGGAACATTCTCCCCAGGCCACTCCTGCTCACACTCCATGTTCTTCCTCTAAGCTCAGACAGATGGCCCCACATGATCCAGCGCTTAATTCTTCCCTAGTTGTTCTGTGGACGAATTTTTGTCCTTCCAGGTCAAGGCTAGTGGACCCCAGGCCTGAGCTCTATTTCATCCTTCTTTCCCCATAGCAGCTAATAGTGCTGGACACAGGGCAGGTGTTTAAGGAAGGGTGGTGGTTGTTGTTGTTGTTGTTGTTGTTGTTGTTTTGATTGGGAACTAGCAAGTGACTTCAGTTATGGCCCTTCCTTCCAACAAGGAGCCCTAAGAATTGGGGTGACGTTTCTCCATCGGGACGCTATGATCACAGTGTATTCGCCTTGTGAACATTCACAGAGGTGAACAGTTAGGTAGGATCTGTGCACTTTCCTGGATTGTGTTCTATCGGCAAAAATGTTTTTTATAAAATCAGATTGGCGTGGAAGTAAGTGATGTTTCTGTGGGCACCATTCCTGGGGAGTGGGCAGAAGCAAAAGGAAGAATTTCTTTATACATCTTTATCAGAACCTCACTTAGGAGGGTGCCTGGGTGGCTCAGTGCTTTCAGCCTCTGCCTCCGGCTCAGGTGGCTCAGGTGGCTCAGGTCATGATCGTGCTCTCTGCTCAGCAGGGAGCCTGCTTCCCCTCTTTCTCTTTGCCTGCCTCTCTGCCTATTTGTGACCTCTCTCTGTCAAATAAATTTAAAAATCTTAAAAAAAAAAAAAAAAAGAAAAGAAAGAACCTCACTTAAGATTTTGCCCTGGGCCTCCAGGCCATATCCCCTTCCACCACTAAATCTGCAGAGGCCCCAGGCTGGCCAGGGCAAATGGGGAGAGGAGTAAAAGGGAAAGTTCTGGGTCAGGAATGAGGTAGGTGACTGATGAAGTTTAGGAGAGGACAAAGGCATATAGGTTCCACGCAGCTGGAGCTGGCCAGAAGTGGGTGGTCGGGCTCAAAGGACCAGCAAGTCTAGAGCTGAGGGTGGATGTGGGAGTCCTGAAGCCCTCTGCACACCAGGGCATTCTGGGAGGCATGTTCACAGTCTCGCGCGAGCGCACGGCAACGGAATCACCTGCTCCGTCCTGGCCTCAGAGCCAGGAACAGCAAAGCCAGGAGTGGGGGTCGAGTTCCAACCCAGACTTTGTCCCTTGATCTCCGGTCGGCCTCTTTCTGACTGTCCCTGGGCCTGGGTTTGTTTTTCCCTCTGTTATACAAGCCACTTTATGTCCAGATAAGAGGATGTCCTCAAACTGTGTTAAACACTGGGAAGCAACAGGCTAATAATCAGATCACGGAAACCCCCATCTGGGACAGGAGGGCATGGCAGCCCACCGCCTGGGCAGGCAGGCAGGTAGGCAGGTAGGGAGGTCATGCTCTGAGGCACCCTCTGGGGGACGCTGCAGCCTGGAAGCTGGAGGCTCAGCTAAGAACGGAAACCACCCTGTGCAACACAGCAGCAAGAGCTGTTACGAGGGCAGCACCCTCCTTGGCCCACTCCGGAACTGTCATCTCCCCTGAACAAGATTGGGGCATTCAGGACAACAGGAAGAGTTTGGGGTGGTTATGGGAAGAACTTCCCAATCCTGAAAGTGTGGTTCCTTTCCCTGAAGAAGAGCTCTCAGCGCCTAAGGTTACTGGCACTTAAAATTCCATGGGAGCCTGCCCACCCCTCCACCCCCAGGAGCACAGCCAAGCAGCAGAGACAGAGTCAGGGAGAAAAACTAGGGGCTCCAGTTCTGGGACAGCCTTGGTGGGGAGCTTTTCGGGAACCACTGGCCTGTGAGGTATAAGCTTCCCAGGAATGGGAGTGAGGGAGGGAGACATTAGGCTTTCTGAAGCCTAGTGTCTCCTTCCCTCTCCAGCACTTTGGGGGTTAAGTCAGATCCGGGAAAGGGAAATCTTTTCCCAGCAGCTCCGCCCAATGACTCAGGCCAGGGAGGGAGGGCATCAGGGGAAGGGAGAGAGAACGAGCAGCTTCCCCAGCTCCTCAAGGGTCATGAGTCAGCACAAAGACAGAGGGACTAGCCAGCCATTAAGACCCCATGTGAGCCCTTCATCCTGTGTGCCAGGCTCTCCCTCCAATCCCCACTCGGAGCACACTTCCTCCCCCTCCCCCTCGCTCTCAAAAGAGCCAGGCAAAGGACCCCTGTCCCACTTGGGCCACGTATTTCGGGAAATGGCTCCCTCTCCCATTCCATCCCAAAGGGAAGTCTCCTCAACCCCTGGCTTCCTCCCATCGGGGTCACTACCCACCCCTCCCTGAGGGGCCTTTCAGCTCCTTCCCCCCCATCAGCATCCTTCCTTTAGACCAGGCCCCGCCCTGGCTCCTCCTCCCCATTCGACCAGTCCCCAACCGACAGGCCCTTTCTCTGGGTTCTCACAGGAGCCCCCTGACACTCCCCAGCTCCAAAAGAAAGCAAACCAAGGCTGCCCTCCCACCCGGGGTTCACTGCATTCCCACAGCCTGGCTGGTTCTAACCAGTGGGGTTGGGGTTGGGGACTTCCCTGGGGTCCCCAAACAACCCTTAGGAAATAAGGCCAGTTCTGAGTCTCCACAGCCCTCTCCCCTGCCCCAGCAAGTCCACTGGCAGCTGAGGAAACATTCCAGAGCCCTGAACACCCACGTCCAGGAGTGAGGAAGCAGGCGAGAAGAGATGGAAGAAGGCCAGCCCTATTTCCCAGGTCTCTGTAGCCCCCACAATGCCCCAGCCAGCCCTCTCTGGCCCCTAGTAGCCAGGGCCTCAGGCACGGGCTGGCTTCAAGGAGCAGGTCCTCAGTCGCTGTACCCTGCAGCTAAATTAGGAGGTAAGCAAGCTCTGAGCCCCAAGACCCTAGCCAGCCTGCACCTGTCATCAGGAGCAGGGGAAAGGCAGGAAGCTGGGAGGTGCCTGTGGAGAGCCAGTTGAGGGGGTGGCCCAGCACCCCTCTGACTCCCCCACAACTTCCGCCTGGGGAGACTTTAAAGTGTGACTTCCTGTACTGGGGCTGCAAAGGGGGCGGAGAAGCCTGAGGAGAAACCGAGAGAGTGTGAGGGACCCTGTGGTCTAACCCTGGCCCAGCACCTCCGGACCTTAGCTGGGTCCTTCCCCTGCATTAATTTGTTCATTAAATGAAAATGCATTTGTTCTTGGAATGTCAAAATTTCTGGGGAGTTTTATGACAGCTTCTCCTCCAAGAGCTCAGTTGCAATCCCACCTCCTTCCCCTGAAGCCCCCCATTAATCCCACTTCCCCGGCTCAAGCTCATTAGATGCTCAGCCCCCTGTGATCTTCAATACCGCGGATTAACAATATCTACTTTTGGCTCTTGTTATAATTATCCTGGGGAGTAAATATGATCTCCCCAAACAGACCATAAACTCTATGAGATGAGCGATCAGAGAGAGAGTGTGGTCAGAGATAGCATCTTATCCTCCTGGGTATCTCCTCAGCTCCCAAAATGAGAGGAGCAAAGTAAGTAATGATGGGTTGGCCAGTCTAATAACTCATCTGTGCTCCCCTCCAGCTGAAGCCACTGCTTCCCAGAGAGGGAAGGAGAGAGTCAGCGCCCCTTGTAAGAACAGACTTGCCTCCCGGGGAGAGTTTTCAAACCATGCCCAGTCCTTCCCACACACATGCACACCCACCCACACGCTCCCCCGCCAGAGAGTCTGATGAGTGTTCCTCTCCTGAGCATCACTGCTGACTGAAGGCAGTCCATATGAACGACAGGAAGGCAGAAAAGGGTTTGAGAAGCCCCGCTCTAGCCTGTTAGTTGCGTACTTCATCTGGCTATTCCCGAACTCTTAAGGTGCCCCATACTCAATGGATCCATCTCCTGGGCTAGACAAATGTCACACAACATACTTCTCAGCACCAGTGCTGAAAGCTCTGGGGCCCTTCTCTCCTCGAGCGCCCTCCCCACCGCACCTCCCCACCCAGTCCCAATCCATTGGGTCTGCCGGTTCATCTTGCCAGTCCTCCTTCTGTGATCTCTCAGTCCTGCCATACCCACGGGTTGCCTCACACTTGGATTATTGCAACTGTCTTCCCGCTGACTGCTCCAATCCACCCTACACACTCTGTCTGTGTTCACGTTTCAGCTTGTACTTCTCCAGAGCCTGACCTGGAACATCATGTCCACAGGTCCCTCCTTCCCTGAATGAGCACTTGCAGGGGTCCCTTGCTGCTATTCTGAACATTCTCAGATGCCATGGGCCCTCAGAGAAGTGTTTCTGAATGAATGAAAGAATGAATGAATGAATGGATGGATGGATTCCTCTACCTTGGACCCCATTCAAGATTCTCTCTTCATTTCCTCCCCCAATCCCTCCAATTTTCTCATTCTCATTTCTTCTTGTTCCTCAACCTGCTCCTTCCACTCCAGCCAAGGGGTCCTTCCATCCCTACCTACTCCCAACACAAAATCCCACCTCTCCCTTCCCCTCCTCTCCCCAAACCAGTCTCCCTTCTTTCCAGCCATGCTGCCAGCCACTGACTTCGAATCTCAGCCCCAAAACCACTTTTCTGTAAGGTTTTCCCTTCCTCATTCCATCTGACCCATGCCTGTTCCTTGATTCATGCAACAAAGAGTTAGGGAGCACCACTGCTCATGCGTCCCATTCTCTGCTGGGTCAGAGACAGTGGTCTAGGCAGAGGGTGCTCCTGGAGCACCACCAGAGTGGAGGCAGCTGGGTGACGCTCATTCCCTTCCCTGGTTCTGCCTCCCATCTCCCCATCAGTGTTCTAGGACACCACACCAAAACGCTTTTGTGGATATTTTCCCCCTAGACTGTGCTGAAACCATTTTTTGTCTGTAAGCTATCTTGGGTCCCAGACTATAAACTCCTTGAGAACGGCAAAATCCTAGGGGCTTTGTCCCAGTCTCTCCAGTATTCTTCCCCAGTATCCCCCCACACAAGCATAACTCCAGTGCTCAGTGTTGCCCACTGAATGGCGAGCAATTGAAAAGCTCGGACAGACCTCCATACCTTCTGTTTCCCCTCCGGCTCCAGACGGAGTTTGGGTCCCACAGAGCTGAGCTTGGGTCCCTCACCGTCTCCACCCCAGCCGCCAAGCACTTTCCTTTATCTGTGGAGACTACCCATACCTTCTGTTTTCTAAACACAGTAGCCACCAAACAATACTACTAACAGGAACAAGACAAATCTAAGTGCTTTCCACTTGCTATACCTTACTCCTCTACTAGAATGTAGACTCCATGGGGACAGAGATTTTGTTCACTGCTGTCATCCCAGCACTTAAAATAATGTCTAGTACAGACCCAGCACTTGATAAGTTGAATACTTAACCCACAGTTGACCTTGAACAACAAAGAAGTTAGGAGCACCGGGCAACACCCCTCCCTTAATGAAAAATCCATGTGTAACTTTTGACTCCCCCAAAACTTAACGACTCATAGCCTACCTTTGACTGGAAGCCAAATCAGGGGCGGAAACAATTGATTAACACACATTTTGTATGTTCTGTGTTTATACCATATTTTGACCATTAAGTAGGCTAGAGAAATGAAAATGTCATTAAGAAAATCATAAACAGGGGCGCCTGGGTGGCTCAGTGGTTTAAGCCGCTGCCTTCGGCTCAGGTCATGATCTCGGGGTCCTGGGATCGAGTCCCACATCGGGCTCTCTGCTCAGCAGGGAGCCTGCTTCCCTCCCTCTCTCTGCCTGCCTCTCTGTCTACTTGTGATCTCTCTCTGTCAAATAAATAAAATCTTTAAAAAAAAAAAAAGAAAGAAAATCATAAACAGAAAATACATTTACAGTTCTGTAGTTAATGGGGAAAATCTGCACATAAGTGGACCTGTGTGGTTCAAACCCCTGTTGTTCAAAGGTCAACTGTGTATCAATCTACTTAATCTTCAGAACAACATTTGGAGGTAGTGTTTATTACATACGTTTTAGAGATAAAGAAACTAGGACATGGAAGGTTCTGTTCAGGCAACTAGTCAGTGAGGGAGCCAGGATTTAAATCCAAGTGATCTACCCCTTAAGAGAGAACAGAAGTAAGACCAGGCAGCTGGAGGGGGGCAGAGGGAGCCTGGGAGAAGGACAACCTTGAGAGAAGTCAAGAGAGGGGACTGGGGAGACAGGAGGTGGGAGAGTGAGAAGAACAGTGAGGCCCAAATGGAGAGAGGTGCTGACTGGGGGGATCAGGGTATAGAAATGTGGACTCCAGCACAGAAGAGAGGGAGAGGGAAGAACCAAAGAGAAAAAGTTTCAAAAAAGGAGACTCTCATGGGGAAACCGATAGAAAAGACGGGAATGCTTAGGAGAGACAGGACAAGACCCAGAGAAGAGGGGAGGGGAGGAGAGGAGAGTGGGGAAGACCTAGGCTAGGGACGGGCAAAGACCTAGAAGAAACCAGCCAGCACACGCCAGGAAAATCCACCCCAGCAGGTGGGAGAGAGGAGCTTGGAGTATGACACAGGATGACTCCAGGACAGGCAGGGAGATCAAGGATACACTGAAATGAGGCTGAGGCACAAGAAAGGGACATTTTCCAGTGACGAAAACAACTTTCTACTAACTTCCCCAAACCACGCTATAAAAGAAGAAACCAAGAGATTGTTGTTTAGGCCTGTGGGAAGGGGGCCGGAAGGCTGGCACAGGGACAGGACTGGACCAGGTGGAGGTGGGGCTAGTTGTCCAACAGAGGCCACCCATCTAGAAGCTGAGCCAGAGGCAGGGGGTGCAGAATGCCTCCAGGTGGGCGTCCTGGCCCCAGGGAGTGCACTGGGGATACTCTCTGTGGGGTTGCCCTGCCCCTGTCCAGTTCCCACTCTACTCCCAAATATGCCCCTCCACACAGGCAAAAACACATAGCATCCCAAACTTACCCACAACCCATAGCTGTTCCTGGACTCAGTTTCCCCCTTCACTAGCATCCGACTCCTATCCTCTGCCAGGGTTTACTCAGCCCGGGCCCAAGGGCAGCCTCCCCGCACACCGTCGACCCCACACACACACCCGCTGGCCAGCTGACCAGAGGACAGAACTCTGAATCATGGGGACTCCGAGGGCTGAATGCCCTTCTTCCATTCCTTTCCTTACTCTCCGGAATCTGCCCCACCCTCAGGGATCACCTGCCCCCACATTCCCGGCCACCTCCTAGCCCCAGCAAACTTCCTTGGTTGTCCTCAGGTTCCCTTTCACTGTCCCCCTGGCCTCCGACTCAGGGCCGGCGGCCCGAATGAGGAACCCGAACTTCTGGCGGTGTTTGAAGTGAGGCCACGCTGGCCCGAGGCCGGGGGCCGGGAGAAGGGCCCACTGGGGCGAGGCGGCGTCCTCCCCTTCTCTCTTACCCCTCCTCCCCCTCCCCTTGCCCCAGCCCACTCGGCCCCCCGTCCCAGGGCTCACCAGTGGCAGCAGCAGGCCAGGCACGGTGGGGAGGCCCATGACCGGCCAGCGGTGGCCTCTTACTCCCCCATCAGGGCTCAGGCAGTGGTGGCGGCGGCAGCGGCGGCGGCGGCAGAGTCTGGGATGTGAGGGCCCGCCGGGTCCCAAGAGCAGCCTGGGGCCGCTGGCAGGGGAGCTGAGGTGGAGACTGGGGTGAGGATCACGGCTCAGTCCCGGGCCGGGATCTCCAACCCCAAAAGCCGGAGCTGGAGCCCGAGTCCTGAGAACTGGGAGAAAATTAAAGCAGAAAGGAGAGAGAGGTGGGAGGGAAGGGAGAGCGGCAGATGGGGTGTTGCAACTGCGGGACAGGAAGAGCCTGGGGGAGGAGAAGGGAGGAGGCGGGAGGAGGGGGCGAAGGGCTGTAACCCTTTGGAGCTCAGTCAGAGGCGCCCGAGTCCTGGATCCCGCGGCCTCTGGCCCCCAACCCACCAATCCGACCCCTCCCGAGCCAACACCAAGGGACCCTAAGCCCCTCCCTCCTCACTCACCCGGTCACCGACCTTTCCCACGTGAACACCGACTCAGGGCTTTGGAGTCACAGTCACTGGGTTCCAGCTCAGAAGGCTCTACTTTTTAGCTCGGAGGTCCTGGACCAGCAAACTATGCTCTGCGAGGCTGTCTTCCAATTTGCCACGTGGAGAGAACCTAGCTCAGGGGGTGGGTGTAAGGGTTTTACTGAGACAAAACAGGTTGAGTGTCTGACCCATGACAGGTACTCAGTGCTCCTTAGTAGCTCTTCCCTTGCCCCCCAAGTTCTCCACTGACACCCTAGTCTCCCACTTTCTTGGGTGTTTATCCCTCCAACCCAGACCCGGAGGGAACCCTCACCCTAGTTTTCCATCCTGACTGGGGCCCTGACACCCTCCCCTCCCTACTCTGTTCTCATCCACCCTGCCTGGCTGGGGCCCCTAGCTGCTGATCCTGGCTCCCCCACAAAAAATCGAGGGACCTGAGGCAAAACCTCCTCCGAGGCTCATTTACTAAGTGAGAGTAACATTGCCTGGCCCACCTACATGGGGGAAATGATGTAATGAGGATTAATGAGATCGTATCTGTGAAAATGCTTTGGAAATTAAAGATACCTCGATCATGTTTTACCAGTACATTCTCAGTGCCCCTCTCCCAAATATTCTGCTATATCAATCCTAATTGACCTTGAACATGATCTACCACAGCCTTCTGTTTTATAGGTAAGAAAACTGAGGCCTGGAGATACACATGCAGGTTCTCTGCATGCCAGCTGAAACCCGGGAGCCCCAATTTCAGCCCAAGGGCCCATTTTACTATGATAGACAACATTGCCACTTTTCTATCTGTCCCCTTGAGTCAGACACCATCCTCTGGATATTTCAGGCCACTCCCGTTTGTGCAGGATATCTCCCAGATGAGTCCCACAACAAGGGTACAACTTTCACCCTAATAACCTCTGGGCACAATGACTTTCATAGTGCCCAGCCCAGGCATGAGGTACCCCCCACACACACAAAGGGAGACCAGAGAGGTCTTTTTGACTTGGAACCAGAGCTCCTGGCCCCTTCTCTCCTGGATCTACCAGCTGACCCCACCTCTTGTATGCCATCCTCCCTGGCTCTCAATGGCCTCCCCTCTTTGATCCTGAGGGCATGGCATCTGTAGAAGGGAATGGAGCTCACATGCCTGCTACCCAGGGCTGACTTCACCCCACCCTCCAGCTTCTGAAACAAGAAGTGTTTACCATACATTAAGCATTCAATAAGTGGTAGCAATGTTAGTAATTGCACAATTAACAGTATTCCCAATTAAGAACAACTTTAATGGGGCGCCTGGGTGGCTCAGTGGGTTAAGCCTCTGCCTTTGGCTCAGGTCATGGTCTCAGGGTCCTGGGATCAAGCCCCGCATCGAGCCCCGCATCGGGCTCTCTGCTCAGCAAGGAGCCTGCTTCTCTCTCTCTCTCTCTCTCTCCCTCTCTGCCTGCCTCTCCATCTATTTGTGATCTCTCTCTGTCAAATAAATAAATAAAATCTTTTAAAAAAATTTTTAAAAAAAGAACAACTTTAATGTCCTGTTTTTAATGTTACGATGAATTTTTAATAGTCTGCGTCACCTGTCAAAGCCATTACACATAGCCTGGCACAAAAAGAGAGTTTCTTTCATTGTTTCAGTTAAATGTGTATTTACTTTAAATTTTGAAAAATTTGGTATTAAATTGTTCAATAAAATTCTGCCTTAAAAAGATGGTGAGAGGTGGGTGCTTGTAGGCATATGAAAGGCTAACTAGTCTCATGGAGGAGGTGAGATTGTGGACATGACCCCTCCAGGGGAAGAAGAAATAATGGTGAGGGAGGGAATGGAAGAGATGGAGAAACAGGAGAGGGGTGAACTAAGGCATGATGGAATGGGCTGTTAGGGCTTGTGAAGTAACAGATGAAGGGAAAAGAGCAGAGACCCCTCCCCCCATGCCACGTGTGTGTGTGTGTGTGTGTGTGTGTGTCTCCTCTCTCTCTCTCACACACACACACCTCCCCCCCACACACACACAGTAGCAGTAGAGTGATCAAAAGGACACTGCTCCAAGTCTGGGTGACTTGGTTTCTAGCCCCAGCCCCATCACATGACTCCATGTCTCACAGGGAGCCGGGATGGGTCATAGCAGGAGACCTTGCTGGTTCTGTAAGAATTAGAAGCTTGGGCAAGTCACTTCACCTGCCAACCTCAATAAGGAAAAGAAAGCAACCTAAAGACTTTCTTCTCTGACACCCATTCTGACTCCTAACCCTGGGGTCTAAGGGTCTGTACAGATAAGAGATAAACAGCTCAGGGTGGAAATGCAGTGGGCCAGGAGAAACTCTAGTGTGGGTTGTGGGGGGAGGGGAGGAGGAGCTGATCACTCTCTTCCATGCTTTGTCGTGCAGCCAGAGGAGAGGGTCTGGGGCCCGGGAGAGGAAAGGCCCAGAGAGCAAAGACAGGCTGAACCTGAGGGTTCGGACAGAGGTTGTGACACCACCATTTTCCCCTCATCAGCTCAAGTCTAGGAAAGGGAAGTCAGAAGTCCTCACGTCAGTTCCTGTCACAACCTTTTCTACCTCTCCGTTCCTTTTACTGCCTACCCCTCCTTCTCCAAGGTTCCCGTGGCTCCTCAGGACAGGGACGATTGTAATTGAGAGGGGTAAGACCAAGGCAGCAGGGACTTGTCCTCAAAGATGATGAGGAAGAGTAACTTCCGGCTTCCGGGTATGATGCTAGAATGGAGGAAGGAACCGGGATTCCAAAAACCGGGGTTCCACTCACATCCCCATTGCTCCTTTAATACAAGCAGGAGGGTTCCTGCTGCTGCTCTCTGCAATGATGAGAGGATAAGAATATACCAGGCTTGGAGGTTCCAGAAGGTTTGAACTGGCCTGTGTCTCATCCTCTCCCACACCCCACCCCTCCTAACAAACTACTGGGCAGTTGATGGGGAGATGGGCAGGTGAGGGCATTATCTTGAGACTGGGTACGGAGTCACTCCAATTGCACTTAGCAGTTGGAGAGGTGGATGACTGATGACGTAAGTAAAGTTGGGGAGGGAAAGGAAGTTCAAACAGTAGACGAGTGTGAGTCATCCCAATCACTGCCCAGTAGGTGTCCTAAGGGGGACAGCACCATGGCTTCACCGTCCCACCCTAACATGGTGATGGCCACCTAGCAGGTGCTCAGTGATGCCCATGGAGGAGCTGGTGGTACAGTTGGTCTCTGCCAAGACCCCTGAAGAATGGCTGCTTCCATTGTGAAGCCAAGGGCTTTGGAGGGTCTGTCTCCTTGCCCCACCCTGGGACCTCTGACAAGCTTGGGCAGTGACCCAAGGACTTGTGTCCACTCCCTACCCCCTCGATGGTGCCCCTGTACAGCTCTCCAGACATTCCTTATGCAGCAAACGTTTATTGAGCACCTGCCTACTTGCTTTAAGCGGGACACCGGGCTAGACCCTGAGGATACATAAATGAACAAGACTCCGTCCCCGACCCCAAGGAGCTCACAGTCTAGTTGGGGAGGCAGGCACAAAGGAACAAGAAAGCATACATCATCAGCTCTAAACATCAGGCAACATCAGCTCTAAAACAGATGTTATGCTGCACTATGGGAGTCCAGGGGAGAGGGAAGTGATCAACTCTGGGGAAGACAAGAAGGAACCGAAGTCTTTGCAGAAGTAGTGGTGTCGGAGTAGGGTTCTAAGGGATGTGCAGGAATTCTCCAGATGGTGAGGAAAGCTTCCAGGCTGAGCAGAGAACTGGACCAAATATGCAGAGGTATAAAGGATGCAGAGGCAGGGGGGTATGGCTCCGTGGGGACGTAGGTAGATGAGACTGGAAGAGTCCTGGGGCCACCTAAGAATGGCCAAGCCTTTCCTACACTGGTCTGCTCCAGTCCCTGCCCTGGGAAGGGGAATTGCCCAAGAACTAACAAAGGGGGCTTTTGGGTGGTGTTCCCCACTCGAGTTCAAGAAGAGGTGCGAACATGTCTACTGGAAAGCAGCGTGGCCAGGCCCGGGGCTGGGTAGGAAATGTGCATGCCTTTGTGTTCTCTTGCTTGTGTTTTGTTTCCGGTGGCCAGCGGTTTCCAGGGAAGGTTCCTTGTCGAAGCTCCAAGTGTGGCCTGGCTGATCCAAGGGAAAGGCAGACTTGTTTGCACTTGGGGAGGGAAATCAGCGTCTTCTCGAGGCAGGACCAGAGGGTACAGGGCAGGAGACAGGGCCATTCTGGGCAGGTTCCTTGGCCCCTGCTCACTGGGCCATTTCTGTAGCCCCTTACCCATCCTGCTTCCCTCCCCCACACCAAAGGCAGTTGGGCAGCTCTGAGAGGAAGTCCCCAAACTTTCTCTCATCCTGCCAAGCCTTCCCCCTCCCACCAGGGGAAGCGCCTGCCTTGGGTGGAGGGGGACACTCTCCTTCCCTCTCAGGGCTCCCCCAGAGTACAGACAGAGGCGCTGGTCCTCACCAAGCTGGATGGAGATGGGCAGGGGTCCAAGGAGGCATAGGCAGGGGGAGGGGCTGTCAAGGCTGGGGAAGTCGCAGGGCCTGGTGGGGATGAGGAGGGGGATGTGGCGTGGGGGCAGAAATGGGAGGGGACGGAGGAGGCTGGAGTGGAGGCCACCTCCCGGGCACCCCTGCCCCCTCGGCCTGGAGACCAGTAGCGGCTTCGGAGCCTCCGGAGTAGCATGAGGACTGTAATGACCAGGAGGTCAAAGACGAGCTCAGCCATCTCCACCACAGACAGCACCGAGGAGCCGAACCACAGGCTCCACTGGCTCCCCAGGTTGGACAGGAGGGTGACCATCTGTGAGGGAAAAGGGCACACTGACCACGAGGGCCAAGGTGGAAGAAGAGCCCCATCCCTCCTTCCGTGAGGCCCACACCCACCCCTTTCGGCCTTTTGGTGGTTCCCTGGACCCCTTCTGTCCAAGTCATACCCATCTGGAACACCCTTCCCTGTCGCCGTACCCAGAGATTTCTTCTGTCCAAGTTCCCCTTCTTCCAACCTTCTCAACCTTCACCCTTGTCCCCTCTCCTTTCCTTTTCCCCTACCTTCAAGGCCTAGACACCTGTGGCCCCCCAGGGGCACCCCCTTGTTTTCCCTCACAGCCACCCACTAAGACCTCCAAGAGAATCACAGGCTCAGTAAGGACATACCGTGACAGAGGGAGACTCAGAGTTGGTTTTGTATTTCAGCTCCTTGAAGAAGATGTTGAGTTTGGCAACGCCATTTCTTTGGAGTCGAGGAGAGGGTAGAAGAAATGGCAATGGATTAACTTCTCAGACCCTCATAAATACCCTCCCCTGATCACATCCTCTTCCTAGATTCATTTTCCCTCCCACGGACTCCTTTCCCCAGCCAGATCAGGGTAGGACTGACCTTTTGTTGTTAATAGTATAATTGTTCTGTTGGGATAGCATCCGGAAGACCCAGTCCTGGAAAAGAATGGGGGTGTCAATGGGGGTCACCCCATATTCTTCAGGCTTACAGAGTACGGTGTGGCATCAAACACATCTATATACATACCCAGAGAAGACCACAGTGTTACACACACACACACACACACACACACACATGTCCCCTTTTCCCTGCTTTACCTGAGATGTCACTGAGGGCCATCGTGAATAACCAGCAGATAGCTGGTAGCCGGTCACACTGGAGATGGAGAAAGGAGCTCAGTGCTTGTGGTGAGGGTCCCCCACTCAAAGGCTTAGCCAAGTACCCTGTACTCTCCCCAGCCAAGTGGCCAGCTGCCAACCCGTGCCCCAGGGGAAGGAGACACTCACCTGCATGGCTTCCGGCACTTGGTGAAACAGCCCAGGCGGTCCGAGGAAAAGGCATCCTGGAGCTTATAGTAACAATAACCTGTGGGTGCAGAGACGTCCCCATTTTCCTGGGGCACCTCCACCTTCTCCACCCCAGATCCAAGAGGTCTCCCAAGATATGTGGGTACCCACACCCCAAGTTGCATTACAGCAATGCCACCCAAGTGGGGGCACCAAAAACTGTTTAAGAAATTAAGCTAAGGGGGCGCCTGGGTGGCTCAGTGGGTTAAAGTCTCTGCCTTTGGCTCAGGTCATGATCTCAGGGTCCTGGGATCAAGCCCCGCATTGGGCTCTCTGCTCAGCAGGGAGCCTGCTTCCTCCTCTCTCTCTGCTTGCCTCTCTGCCTACTGTGATCTCTGTCTGTCAAATAAATAAATAAAATCTTAAAAAAAAAAAAAGAAATTAAGCTAAGTCAGAAAAAAAAAATTAAAAATCCAAACCAAAAAACAACTCAGGACTCATCCGTGTAAAGATGACTAGGATATGTACAAAAATCTTAAAGTCAGAAAGAAAACTGGGAACAACTGTGTAAGAAGCACGAGCTTAAACCACAGTGAGATGCCACTTCACACCCACCAGGATGGCCATTAAAAAAATAAATAAGGGGTGGGGGATTAAATAAATAAATAAATAAATAAGTGCCCAGGAGGATGTGAAGAAGCTAGAACCGTCCTTCTTTGCCGCTGGGAACGTGAAATGATGCAGCCACTTTGGAAAAGAGTCTGGCAGTTCCTCAAAATGTCGAACATGGAGTTACGATATGACCCAGAAACGCCACTTCTAGATGTATGCCCAAGAGAACTGAAACACATGTTCACACACGAAATAGAAACAGGACATAGAAACAAGCCAAGTGTCTGTCAACTGATGAATGGGTAAACACATGAGACAAAGCTGTACCATGGACTATTCTTCAGCCCTGAGAAGGAACCCAGTACCGCTAGATCCTACCACATGGACGGCCCTGGAAAATGATACACTAAATACAGGAAGCAGGGGCGCCTGGGTGGCTCAGTGGGTTAAGCCTTTGCCTTCGCCTCAGGTCATGATCTCAGAGTCCTGGGATCGAGCCCCACATCAGGCTCTGCTCAGCAGGGGGCCTGTCCCCCCCCCCCCGCCCTCTGCCTGCCTCTCTGCCTACTTATGATCCCTGTCTGTCAAATAAATAAATAAAATCTTTTAATAAATAAATACAGGAAGCAGTCACAAAGGACCACACAGTACAGGATTCCGGTCCCATGAAATGTCCAGAATGGGCAAATCCGGTAGAGACAGAAAGTTGATTAGTGGTTCCTGGGCTGGGGCAGGGGGGCTGTGGGTGCGGGACATGGGGAGCTCAGAGTGCTAATGGGTAAAAAGTTTCTTTGGGGAGACACCTAGGTGGCTCAATCCATTAAGCATCTGCCTTAGGCTCAGGTCATGATCCCAGGGTCCTGGGATGGAGCCCCGCATCGGGCTCCCTGCTCAGCGGGGAGCCTGCTTCTCCCTCTGCCTGCCGCTCCCCCTGCTTGTGCTCTCTCTCTGACAAATAAATAAATAAAACCTTTTAGGGGCACCTGGGCGGCTCAGTGGGTTAAAGCCTCTGCCTTCGGGTCAGGTCATGATCCTAGGGTCCTAGAATGGAGCCCCTTATCGAATTCTCTGCTCAGAGGGGAGCCTGCTTCCTCCTCTCTCTCTGCCTATCTCTCTGCCTGCTTATGATCTCTGTCTATCAAATAAATAAATAAAATCTTAAAAAAAAACTTAAAAAAAAAGAGTTTCCTTTGGGAGTGATAGAAATGTTCTCAAGTTGACTGTGGCTGCCGCACAGCTCCGTGAGTATACTGAAAACTAAAACTATACTAAAATCAAATTGCGTACTTTAAATGGGTGAATTAAATGGGAGATAAATGATCTCAATAAGCTGTTACCTAAAAAAGGGAGGGGAGATGACTCTACAGATCCCCCTTCTCCCCTATTTACCAAGTTCTAAGTAAGGTTATTGTGTCATTCCTGCTACTTTCAGTTGCCCGTTCTGGAAGTCCTCCATTTCTGACTCAAATCCCCCTGTCTGCCAGGACGGGGGCGGGTGGGGGGTAGGTCTGGAAAGGCAAAGCAGGGGGGCAGCTGGGCCGCTTCCTCTGGGAAGTCAGGAATCCTTAGGGAACAGCAGATCCTTAGGGAACAGCAGATCATGTTTCCCCCCACGCCCCCATTCTTCTCCCCTATCCTCCTGGCTTCTCAGCAATCAGCATTGTTACTTTTCTCTCCCAGATCCTCAGACTCACAGCCACTCAGAAATCATTGAGGGCAGCAAGGAGCAGTGGGCAGGGGCACATGGGAGGGGGACATCACATCACATCTTCCCCCTGGGCCTTGGCTTGCTCATCTGAGAAAGGAGACAGTGAGGCCAGATGGCCCCTGAGTTTCCCTCCAGCTCTGGTGTGCTCTGACCTAAGGTAGGAGAGAGGAGAACAGGAAGGCGAGGACTCCCAACTACAGGGCAGGGGGAGAGACCTGTGGGGAGCACACCCAGGGAAGGGAGGAGGCAGAAAGATACACAGGGACAGAACCAAAAGAGGCAGACGCTAACCTCCGCGGTCTGCCCGGTCCCCTCACACGTGCGGAGGCTCACCTCCTCCAGCAAGAGCCACCAGTGAGAGGAGAGCTGGGCCCAGGGGAGCCCGGGGAGGAGGACCAGTCAGTGGAACCAGGTGAGAGCATGCACACCACGACTGCCAACCCTCTACTTTCTAGTTTCTTGTTTGGGATTTTCTTTCTCTCTCAGCTTCTTAGTACAGAGCTTCCACGCAGCATGACTCAACTATAGCTACAGAAAGGAACAGGGATTGGTCTACTCCTAAACCTGGAGATTTCAGTGCTCTCCAAACTTTTTTGATTGTGCCCTCCTGTAGGTAAAAAAAAAAATTCTTAAATTGGGGCACCTGGTTTCAGCTCAGGTGGTGATCTCAGAGTTGGGACATCGAGCCCCACATTAGGCTCTGCACTCAGCAAGGAGTCTGCTTGGGTTCCTCTCTCCCTCTCTTTCTGCACCTCCCCCTACCCTACCATGTGCGCGCACACGCGCGCGCTCTCTCTCTCTCTCCCAAATAAATGAATAAATCTTTTTTAAAAAAATCTTAAATAAGTAACTCTCTATGTATTGATTTATAAAGTCCATACTTGCTACTAAAGAACTGATCCATTAGGTACATTGTAAAACATATACAGAACGGAAGATGGAGAGATCCATATAACTTCTAGTATTTTCTTCCAGAACCCAGTGAGTGGTCTTGTGCTTTGCCCAGCACCTGGCAAGTGAGATGGGGAAGCTATAGGCAAAGTGTGCACTGGGACCTCAGGACATCAAAGACTTTCCTCATGTGCTTTTCCTTCCTTATGCTGCGAGTTATTTTTAAATGGGGCAATTCTCTAGAAACAAACAGAAGCCAGAATGCAAAGAGGGAAGCTGAGAGGGAGGAACAGGGATAGAGGAGAGAGAGTGAGAGGAAACTGAGAGGTGAGTCTAAGGGCTGGAACACAGGGGAGAGAGAGAATTAGCATCCCAGAGGGTCCCAGAGGGGAGTGCTCACTCCCGCTCCAAGAAAGTCCTGGGGTCCAGGGTCAGACTGGGGCTCCCTGCGGGCTCACCCCAAGAATTGTGCTTCCTGTAGTCACAAAACTCCGCATTCTTGGGCAGTGGATAGAAGATGTAGGCACAGCCACACTGCTTGATCATGTGCTCCTGGAAGCAGGAGCGGATGCACACCTGGAGGAGTGGGGGGTGATGGGAAAGGGGGTTCAGGCCTGCCCTCCCGACACAGCAGGGAAGGGAACCCCTCTTTCCACCTGTAACACACACATACACACACACAAATATACCCCTCCAACTTTCAACTGACCTACAGGGCAGGCCTGGGAGATGGTTGCCATAGGAACATGCTGGTCTCACCTGCTGTGTGTACTTGGAAAGATAAAGGTTCTCCACAGGGACATCACTGCCATTCTTGGTACAGTCACCATAGTTGCCCCCAAGCCTGTCCAGTGCTTCCTGCGTATCCGTATGCACAATGAAGTCAGAGGTCAGAGGTTTAGAGCCAGTGGCCTAGGCCCCTTCCTGAATTCTCTGTCTTCCCTCAGTCCAGAGGGTTTATATTTCCTACCCACCAGCCCCTCCTGTCTGCCTGGCCATTTCCAAACATGCCCCCAGGGGCCCCCAACAACTATCCCAGGGCTACTTTCAAGGACACTGGCTCCCTACTTCTCCAGCCCCTTGTCCCCGACACTACTCCTAAAGACCTTCAGACCTGCCCCAGACCCACCCCACATGATCTCCCTCTATGGGCTTCCGGCTGTCAAGTCACCTCTCCTGCTCTCTCCGACCTGTGGCTCTCCCCTCCCAGGCCTCCCTGGCAGCACCCTTGCCTTCCTCATGCTGATGGAGGTCTCCACACCAGGCCGCAAGTTAAAGCCACCGTCATCCATGAAGGCAGGCTCATCCTGCCCATGGACCATGACCCTGGCCCCAGTCACTGTGGACAGCAGCGGGATGAAGTCATTCTGCTCTGTGCGCAGTGTTAGGGACAGACCTGCGGGTACAGAGGGAGCAGAGTGGGGGCAGAGTTGGAGACGTGTTAGGGGACGGAAACCCCCTCTCCTACCTCCTAGTCTCTACTATTCCTGAGGAGGGCCTTCCTGTAGGCCAGGAAGACCTACATAGGGATTTGGCAACCCCTGGACTGGATTCGGGGGCGGTGGGCAGGCAGAATTGGGACAGGGATTCCTGGCACACCTGGAGTGGACTCAGGGTGCCCATGGGGGACAAAGAACAGAGAAGACTCCTTCCAGGATAGAGACAGGCATGTTATAGGGGAGCCCAGAGGCACACAGCATCTCTAGGACATGAGCACAGGGTGGGTAAGTGTGGGTGAGCAGGGCGGCAGGAAGCCTTGAGGCAGAGGTCAGGGATGGCAGGAATGAGGAATGGCTCACCATTTTTGATCCCAGGCATAGAAGACATCCAGAGGTTAGAGCTGTTCTTGCCATTGAATGTGTAGCAGTTCCCATACATCGGGTGATGAAAGTGAGAGTAATTCCTATCCAGGAAGAGGGAAAGTAGGATCAGAAAGGGAAGTGTAGGGGATCAGAGAGAGAACTTTCAGTGACCTTGGTTTCCTGATCACCTACTATGTGCTGGCACACCCTGGGAGCTTTACCCATGCTCCCTAAGCCACTCTTACCAATCGCCTGTGAGGGATCATCCCCACATCACAGAAGAGGAAGCCAGGGCACAGAGAGGTCAAGGAGCCGCCCAGGGTCACACAAACAATGATGACGAACTTGGGACTCAAAAACAGGTCCTCTGCCTTCTAGTCCAGTCTTCTCCCACCAGGCCACCTGACCTCACTGGCCTTGTGACCTCTCCGGTGTTGTTGTGCTGCATTACGAAGACTTTGGCAGTGTCCCTAGCTTTTCATGTATCTATATCTTAGTTCCCCATTTGGACTGTGATCTCCTTGAGGACAGGGGTCACATCTCATTCATCTCTGTATCATCTCTGGGTTAACTGCACAGTTCCTGGCATACAGACAATAGAGAAGATGGTTAATAAACAGGGGCCAAACGAATGAAGTGGAGAACTGGGAGCGAACAGGGTTGGAGGAGACGGTGAGACCAGCAGTGAGCACAGAGCTGAGAGGAAGAAGGTCAGCACCCAGGGCAGGAATGAGCAGGGTTCTGCTGGGATGGCCTTGAGCAAGTCATTTTCTCTAAGCTTATTTTCCTCGTCTGTCAAATGAGGAGATTGGAACCAGATGATCTGGAATATTCCACTGGCCTTAAAGAACAAAAGCCCAGAGATGTGAAAGATGGGTGCCCATTCTGGGAAGTGCTAGCAAGCCAGCATTTCCAGAGCAAAGGCTGGGTTAAGGGAGGGAAAGCAGAGGCTCCGGAAGTGAACAGAGGCCCATCCTGGAAGGCCTGTGAGCCCTGCTTAGGGGAGAGAGGGGACAGACAGGTACAACGTTGTGGATGCCCACCACGGGCTCTATGCGGCAGGTGGAATCAACAGATGAGATGGAACAACACGGATGCACCTTAAAATAGAGCTTACTAAATAAATAAATAAATAAATAAATAAATAAAAGGCGAGGGACACCTGGGTGGCTCAGTCAGCTGTGTTTGCCTTTGATTCAGGTCCTGATCCCAGGGTCCTGGATCAAGCCCTGGGTTGGGCTCTCTGCTCAGTGGGGAGCCTGCTTCTCCCTTTCATCCCTTCATCCCCATGCTCTCTCTCTCTCACCCCCTCTTCCTCTCTCAAATAAATAAAATCTTTAAGAAAAAAAAGGTGAAATGAGGCACCACCACTTACACATACATCTCAATCACATTTTGCAAAAAACACATATAAAGAGATACACATTCAGCACAATAGGGGAATCTATGAGAAGCAATAGAATGGGACAGTTAAGAGCACAGACTTTGGAACTCAACTACACACATGTGAACCCCAGCTTGAACAAGCAGGAGCCGTGGGACCCACCAAGTTACTTCATCTCTCTGCAGTGCAGTTTCCTCTTCAGTAAAACAGGGATGATAACAGTACTTACCTCACCGGGGTGTGGTAAGGATGAAATCACCCTTTGAATGAGGCTTAGCACTTAGGAAGAGCTATATAAGTTTGCTATTAAGGTTATAAAGTAAAAAAGATGGTAGCAAGTAAAGGAAGGGGAGGGTTTAGAACCCTCATACACTGCTGGGGAAATGTAAACTGGGATGATGACCACTTGGAAAACAGTCTGCCAGTTCCTCAAAACGTTAAATACAGAATTACCCTATGACCCAGCAATTCCACTCCCAGGTGGATGCCTTGGAGAAATCAAAAGATTCATCCCAACAAAAAACTGTACGGAAATGTTCATAACAACATTACTCATGATAGTCAAGAAGCGGAAACAATCCATATGTCCATCAACTGAGGAACAGATAAATAAAATGCGGGCTAGCCATACAACAGAGTATTACACAGCCATCAAGAGAACAAACTGCTGGGGCGCCTGGGTGGCTCAGTCAGTTGAGCGTCCAATTCTCTACCTTGGCTCAGGTCATGCTCTCATGGGTGGTGGGATCGAGCCCTACGTCAGGCTCCATGCTCAGTGGGAAGTCTCCTTGAAGATTATCTCTTCTTCTTCTTCTGCCCTTCCCCCCAACAGATAAATAAATCTTTTTTAAAAAGGTTGGGGGCGGGAGCGCCTGGGTGGCTCAGTCAGTTTACCATCTATTTTCAGCTCAGGTCATAATCTCAGGGTCCTGGGAGCAAGACCTGTGCCAGGCTCCCTGCTCAGTAGGGAGTCTGCTTCTCCGTCTCCCTCTGCCACCCCAGAACCCCACTCATGCTCGCTCTCTCTCTCTAATAAATAAGTAAAATTTTTAAAAAATAAATAAAATTTCAAATTAGAAAGAATGGGGGCACCTGGGTGGCTCAGTCATTGGGTGTCTGCCTTTGGCTCAGATTGTGATCCCAAGATCCTGGGATCAAGCCCCACATCAGGCTCCCTGCTCAATGGAGAGCCTGCTTCTCCCTCTCCCTCTGCTTGTCCCTCTCCCTCTGCTCCCCTGCTTGTGTTCTCGCACTCTCTCTGTCAAATAAATAAATAAAATATTTTTTTAAAAAATTTAAAAGAATGAAGTGTTGATACATGCTACAACATGGACAGGCTTGAAAACATCATGCTGAGTGAAAGAAGCCAGAGACAAAAGGCCACATAGAATATGATTCTATGTATATGAATGCTCACGACAGGAAATACATAGAGATGGAAAGTAGATTCCTGGTTTCCAGGGCTTGGAGGAGGGGAGGGAATGGGGAGTGACTGCTGGTAGGTGCAGGGTTTCTTTTTGGGGTGAGGAGGATGTTCTAAAATTAGATCATGCTTGCACATTTCTGTGAATACATTATAAATCACTGAATGGTATATATTTAAAGGATGAATTTTATGGTGTGTTGTATCTCAATCAAGCTGTTATTAGAGAAAAGATTACAGAGAAAAGGAAAAGCCATGATAAGGGGCTTTAACTCGATTCCAGAGGCCATGAGAGACCACGGAGGATCTTAAGCAGGACTCACTGGAGTAGTTGTAGAATAAAGAGAGGATCTGGAGTCCAAAAGACAATGGGAGGGGAGGGGATTATAATAAGCTGGGTGAGACATGACGAGGCTCCAGGCTCTGAGCTAAGGAAGTGACCTAACCGTCAAGACAGAGATGAACTCTGGACTTTCCACTGATGGGGAGGTACGAGCAGGGGGCTGGCACAGTGAGAGGACCTTTGGGAAGGACATTTAGAGACACTCGGTGGCAGGTGTGAGCTTCCCAGGAGGTAGCTCCTGTCTTCAAACAAACATGAAGACGAGAAACAAGAACAAAATCCCCCGTATGTGGGCCAGAGTGTGTATGCCAGGTGAGGGTGGGGGCAGAAGCAGGTGACATCTGTCCTTGCTGCCATGCTGCAGTAACATGGGAAGGACAGGCCCCTAAAGAGTGGGGATGCTGCCTCAGCACCCTTCCTCAGCCAGGCAGAGACAGCCAGATGGCCCCTGAAACGGTGAAGCTCAAGGAGCACTAGTAAGAGGGGAAGGCAGGGGTAGGAGGGGCCAGAGGCTGCCACCTGCCACGACCTCTTTGCGAGGACGTAGTGACTGGAATTCTGGCCCAGGTAATGCCTGGCGGGCACTGCAGGGGAGTGGGAAGGATCCTTAGCTAGGGCTGCCCTGGAAACCTAGGGCAAGCCACATCTACCTGTTGGAGTTCAAGGGCGATGTGACCCAAGTCTCCCTGCAGTTTATAAAATGCCCTCACACTTATCTCATGAACTTGGAGATGGGTATAATCAACATCCTCATCGCTTGAATAGAAATGCCAAAAGGCCAAAAATTATATATATTTTCCTATTTGGTGTATCCCAAATTCCTAGAACAGTGACTGGCACACAGCCCAGATAGTAAACAGTATTTGCTGAATGAACATTGAACGGATCTCATTTTCCCCCATTTTATAAACAAAGAAACACTCTCTGCAGAGCGGTGTCAAATGCCTTGAGTCACCTGGCTGGGAAGTTACAGAGCCAGAGCAGGGACTCAGGCTCACTCCCTGATTCAATCCATGCTATTTCCACCAAACCATTACTGTCCACCTCCTCTGAGAAGATGACCTCCCAGACACTTTTGAGTTTGAGGCTAGTGACAAAGAGGACTTAGAAAGATGGAGATGCATGCTTCCAGCCATGGGAGTCTGAAAGCCAGACCTCAACTCCATCCAGCCTTTCCAGGGCATCCCTATTAGGCTGCCTCATTCAGACCAAGAACCCCTGCAGGATAATCCACAGGACAGAGGTTTGGACCTGAGCGAGGTAGGTGCATGCCCCTCCTCTCCTCTTGGCACCGAGCATTTCCCGGGTGCCACCCACATGAGCCTCAGATTGGCCTTGGGGAAGGAGACCCTGTGGGGAGCACGGAGGGCAGGCACGAGGGACTCACGCCTGACTGCAGGAGGCCTGGTTGAAGCGGCAGGCGAAGATGAAGTTGTCCAGCATGTCCTCCCCCGGGGCCGGAGAAGTGTCTCGCAGTCTCGCAAGAATGTTGATGTAGTGGAAACGGTACCACTCCCTCACTGCATCCACCCCTGACGAGTAAGTCTGGTAAAAGCAGTCCGATTTGTTCTGGTTGCACTAGACACAGGAACCACAGAGTGTCAGAGGGCCGGCAGCAGGGGACAGGTTGCAGGACAGGCTGAAGTCAAACATGGAGTGGTCTGGGGTCCCCAGGGCTAATAGATGGGGTGGGGAGCCAGGAGGGGTTAGAACAGAAGGCAGACAGAAGCTGAAGCTCGGAGGAGAATGGCTCAGGAAAGCATGGGCTTAAGGGAGTGGTTGGCCAAGGAGACGGGGAGCTGTACACACCTTGTGGGTCATTTCTACAGCCTCTGCAAGAGGGTGGAGCAAGCATTCGTCTCCCCATTTTACAGATGGCAAGACGGAGGAATCAAGAAATTTGCCCTAGTAACTGAGCTAGGACGAGAACCCAGGTCTCCTGGCTGTATGGTCCACTCTCCCCAAACAGGGTCTCTCTTCTTTCCTCTGTTACTCCCCCCACTTCCGCTTATTCTCCATTTTACTTTTTATTAAAACAATCTTTTTAAGTCTTTCTCCTGTCTCCTTCTTCTCTCTTAGGCCGGCAGAGCCCCACTTCCCTACTGGTGGGTCCCAACTGAGCCCCACCGGAGGGGACTGACAATTCAGAAAGGTGCTTTTTTCACAACAGATCTGACTTCCGGCCGCTGGAACGCACCCACAGAGGCCGGGGCGAGGAGACCCCACAAGCCCGCACACAGAGAGGTGTTAATTAATTAAAGTATTTTGCGGGCCGACAAGATCCCGCCTCCCGTCGCTAGGCAACTGAAGCGGGGTCCGGAAAGGCAGGCGGGGCCCGGGCGCAGGAGGAACCCGGGGGCCCGGGGGCCCGGGCGCCGGGGCGGGGCGGCGGGCGGGGCCTCCCGGGCTCAGGGGGCGGGGCCTTACCAGCTGGAAGCCGATCTTCCAGTCCTTCCTGTCCACTTGGGGGTTGTTGTCCTGCACAATCGATTTGGCGCTGCGGGCTTGGCGGGCCCGGGAGGGCGGGGCCGGGACCGCCAGGCGCTGTAGGGGGTGCGGCCAAGTCTCCCCGAGGTCGCGACGACCGCGGGGGTGGGCCCCCACGGTGCTGGAAGAGTTGTACTTGTACAGATCGTAGAGCGTCTGCTCGGTGATGCGGTCCAGTTCCTCCAGCTCCCCTTTAATTTGCGTGTCCCTGGAAGGGGCGATGGGAAGGGGGTCGGTCTGGGGGGGGTCGGCCTCGCGCGAGTCCCTGGCCCCTGAGGGCCCCAGTTTCCTCGCCCGAAACCGGTGAGGTCGGTTCATCAAGGAGCCTGCGGGGAATAGCTCTGGTGGCCCCAGGGCTCTCTCGGAGGGCGGGGGACGTGGGGGTGTAGACAAGGTGTTCCGCGGGAGCAGTGAAGGCGACTGTGAGCCTCTGGGGTGACGGCGTTATTACGGCCTGTTTATCAGAAGGGAGAGGCGGGAGGCGCCTGTCTGGGGGGCGCTCTCCTCCCACTCGCCCTGGCGGAGAGGGGAGCCCGGAACTCCTCTGCCCTTTTCCAAAGCAGGGACAGGGTGTGGCCTCGTCCTGCGCCCACACGCTCCCTCGGACCCGCGCTGTGCGGGTCATCCCACCCGGGTCCCCGCGGGTCCCCCGAAGTGGCCTTTGGGCCCGTCTGCCACCTAGCACCTGCTAAATTAGGGGTGCTGAGCTGCACTTCTAAAACTTCCCCAGAAACTTTAAAACTACAGATGCCGCACACGGCCCCTCCCCATCAAAGACTCAGTTTTAATGAGTGATGGGTGGGGCCCAAACACCAGAAGTTAAACACTGTCCAGTGTAAATCATCACATTCCTTCTCGTACAGGCCCTATTACCCTCTCCATCATGAAAGTCCATAATAGCAGTGCCTTAGGGCTAGAATCTACCAAAACAAAACACACGTTAATAAATTCAGCAAGGTTGTAGGATACAAAACCAATGTACAAAAATTCACTGTATTTCTAGATAATAGCAACAAAAATATGGAAAAATGAAATCACAAAACAACACCATATAAAATAAAATAAACAACATCAAATACCAGGAATAAATTTAATGAAAGGCAGGCAAGAGCTTTATCCTGAAAATCATGCTGACAGAATTCAAAGGCCAAAATGAATGGAGAGTTACATGAGTTCATGGGTCAGCAGACATTCTAAAGAAACCCACAGGCTGATTCTAAGGTGTATGTGGAAATGGGAAGAATGTACAGTGGTCAAAACAATTCTGTTTTTAAGTTTATTTATTTTTAAGTAATCTCTACACCTCATGTGGGGCTCAAACTCAGACCCTGAAATCAAGAGTCCCATATTCTTCCGAGCCAGCCAGGCATCCCTCAAAACAATTTTGGAAAAGAGCAAAGCTGGAGTCTTTAACTCTATCTGACTTCAAACTCACTGTGAAGCCACAGTCAGCAAAACAGGGCAGTGCTTATGTAAGGATAGACAACAGATTAATGGAACAGAATAAAGTCCAGAAATAAACTCACACGTATACAATCAACTGAGTTTTGACAAAACCTAATGAAAATAATTTTTTCAAACAGATGGTGCTGGAACAACTGTATGCTGTGTTGAGAAGAAAAACAAAAAATTAAAAAAAAAAAAAAAGGAAACTCAACTTCCACCTCAGTTTATACACAAATATTAAATCAGGTTGGATCATAGACCCAAACATAAAATTCAGAAGCAGAAAGATTCTAGAAGGAAACATCAAAGATACACCTTCATGACCTTAAGGTTATGTTTTTTGGTTAAAAAAATACATTTTTTTGGAAAAAATATATATTTAAATATATATTATATATGTATATAATACATATACATATATTATATATACATATATAATATATATGTGTATATATACATATATGTATTATACATATTATATATATACACATATATATATCTAAGGAAGCAACTGATGGATCATTAAGCTCCATTTCTGAAACTAATAATATGCTATATGTTAATTAATTGAATTTAAGTAAAATAAAATTTAAAATACCTTAGGAAGACCTTATCCTGCAATATAAAGGTCTCTTACAAATCAGCAATAAAAAGGCAAATTGTTTTTAAATGAACCGAAAACAAATCCAAAAAAAGACAATAAAAGTAAAAATGCACCAAAAGATATACACAAATAGTCACTAAACACATGAAAAGCTGCTCAACAGGGGCACCTGGGTGGCTCAGTGGGTTAAGCCGCTGCCTTCGGCTCAGGTCATGATCTCAGGGTACTGGGATGAGTCCCGCATCGGGCTCTCTGCTCAGCAGGGAGCCTGCTTCCCTCTCTCTCTCTCTGCCTGCCTCTCTGCTTACTTGTGATCTCTGTCAAATAAATAAATAAAATCTTTAAAAAAAAAAAAAGAAAGAAAGAAAAGGTGCTCAACATAATTAGTCCTCACTACATACACTTCAACAAAAAATATAAATTTTAAGAAAGGCAAACTTCTAAAAAAAAAAAAAAAAGAATGAGGCACCATTTAACATCCATTAGAAAGGCTAAGACTAAGGACACCTGGGTGGCTCAGTCAGTTAAGCATCTGACTCTTAATTTCAGCTCAGGTCTTGATCTCAAGGTCCTGAGTTCAAGCCATGCATTGGGCTCCACACCCAGCATGGGACCTACTTTAAAAAAAAAAAAAAAAAAGGCTAAACCTAAAAGATTGACAAAGTCAAATGCCGGTGAGAATGGAGAGCAGCTGGAGTTGCAGCTGGTGGGAGTCTATAATGGCACAGTCGAGGGCCGCCTGGTAGCCCTCGACTACCAAAGTTAAACACCCATCTAACCTTATGACCCAGCAATTTCACTTGCGGATATTCTACCGGATTCCACTCCTAGCTATTTATTCAAGCACAATGAAAACATAAAGACTTGTACGTGAATGTTCATAGCAGCTTTATTCATAAGAACAAAAAGCTTGAAAACAACCCAAGTGTCCATCAATACTACTCAGCAATAAAAGGAGGCTGATACAGGCAAAAAGCATGGGAGAATTTCAGAAATACAGTAATCAGTAAGTTGAGCCAGACACATGCAAAAAAAAAAAAAGTGTGATTTCCTTTAAAAAATCTGAGAATAGGTCAAACTACCTGATGGTGATATAAGTAAGAGAATGACAGTGGGAGAGGGAGAGGAATGGACTTCAAAGGGCCACCAGATAATGGAAATGTTCAGGATCTTGATAGTCAAACTTCAGTGAGGACTTAAGATTTGTGCATGTTACTGTATATCAATTATACCTCCATTTTTTTTTTAAGATTTTATTTATCTGAAAGAGAGAAGGAGCAGGAAGAGGGGCAGAGGGAGAGGGAGAAGCAGAATCCTCACTGAGCAGGGAGCCCCACATGGGACTCCATCCCAGGACTGTGGGATCATGACTGGAGCCCAAGGCTGATGTTTAACTGACTGAGCCACCTAGGTGCCCAGTTATACTTCAATTAAAGAAAAAGTCAAGGGGTACCTGGGTGGCTCAGTCGGTTGAGCATCTGACTCTTAGTTTTGGCTCGGGTCATGATCTCAGGGTGGTGAGATCAAGCCCCACATTGGGCTCCAGGCTAGGCATGGAGCCTGCTTAAGATTCTCTCTCTCCCTCTTCCTCTGCCACTCCCCTCACTCACACTTTCTCTGTCTCTAAAAAAAAATAAGAGAAAGGAAGGAAGGAAGGAAGAAAGGAAGGAAGGAGAGAGAAGAGGAGAGGAGAGGAAGGAGAGAAGAGGAGAGGAAGGGAATAGAACAGAAGAGAAGAGAAGAGGTCAAATACGTGTGTGTCAGGGGTACTGCCAGAGATTCGGGTTTCGTGGGAAAGGGTGGGGCCCAAACAAGGTTGTTTTACAAGAACCCCAGGGGCCCTAACCAGTCTCTAGGCCATACCCTCACTGTCTCCTCTACTAGGCTCGGTTTCTCCCTCCTTCATAAAGTCTAGCAGGCTGGGCCGCAGGCATCAGCCCCAGCTGCCCCTCATCTCTTCAGAAAATGTAGCTCAGGTCAGAGGTGTGTGTCTGACATTCCCAGAGACTTGCTTGTGATTGGGTAATTCAAAGGATGGCAGAATCGGCTAGTCTTTATTGAGCACTTACTCTGAGCCAGGCACTGTGGTATTAGAAAGGACATAATTTAATGTAATCTTCAGTATAATTCAGCAAACTGCTGGCCACTGTCAGCTAATACTATTGTCATTCCTTTTTGCAGGTGAAAAACCTGAGGCAGGTGGCTTGTTCAAGGTAACCCAGCCAGGAACCGGGTCAGAAAGCACTCCAGCCATCATACTGTCCTCCACTCTTTCCCTGCCAGCGCTGGCTATTTTAGGAGGTTGACAAGCTGCCCCAGAAGGAGCACTGGACCCAGAATTAACTAGATGTGCGTCCTGGTGTTCCCACCACACACTTCCAGCTGGGTCATGTTGGTAAGTAACTCACCCTTTCTGAATCCAGCCTCAGTCTCCCCATCTGTAAAAGGGGCATAACACTAGATCTCCATACCATGTGAAGAAGATCTCCACATGTGAAGATCTCCATACCATGTGAAGGTCTCAGGGGGTTAAGTAAGAAAATATTCAGTGACACGAAATGAACAGGATACTGAGTATCTGGAAGACATAGACAGGAGTCCAAAGCCTGAGAAACGCAACCGTCTTTCTCCCACTCACATAGGAAGAATCCAGGTCTGCCACCTTGGCTGGAGTTCTTGTCACATATACCACCACATCTCTGGCTGAGCATTCCCTTTCCACACCCCCTTAAGCTGTCTCAAGTTCCTCTGCGTCCATCTTTTGACTTGTACACTCTCCTCACCCTCATCTTCGACTCAGAAAGTCTAGCATCTTCTCTAGCCACACTGCTCCTCCCCACAGAGCCCCAGGCTATCCCTATGCCAGTTTCCCCCTTGACAGTCCCCCTTCCTATTTGGCTCCTTCCTGCCTCTTCCAGAGAGGTCTCTGATGAGACCCCAATCCCACCTCCAGAAGAGGCCAGGCTCCACAGAAAACACACTCCCTCCCCCAAGGTCTGCCTCTCTCCTTTTGGTTGATGGGGAGTTGCTTAAGGAAGGGAGAAGCATTCCCATATTCCCCCTTCAGAAAATAAATCTCTCCCTGCCTTTCGGCTGACAGCTAGAACTAAGAGAAGTGATGTGGAGTAAAACCCACTAATGACATCAGATCTTATCCT